TTTCCACATCCCAGCCCTTCAGAGACAAATCCTGCATGAGTTGCCTGTGTGCCATTGGCAGGGGTTTGAAAGAAATTTAAGAGAATTTCAGTGTATCACATATTTAATCCTTGCCTCTGATTGCTTTCAGCGATGAACAAATGCAAGGGGGCAACCTGGGCCGGAAGGATTTCTGGCGCAAGATGTTCAAATCCCAGAGTGCAGCAAGTGACACCAGCAGCCAGTCTGAGCAGGACACTTCGGAATGCACCACTGCCCACTCAGGGAACACCTCTGACCGACGCGCCCGCTCACGGTCCCGCAGAATTTCCCTTCGGAAGAAGCTGAAACTCCCCATAGGTAAAAGTATGTCTGTATTTATTTATGGATTCTCTTATTCCATGTCATGCCTGCAAACAAACTCATAATCAAAACAGAGCAATGCATGATAGGATGCAGAAAGGGAAAGCCTTCAAGTGAAAGGCCAAAACTGACTGCATTCATTTACTCATTTAAAAAAACAACAACAACACACACAGATATTTCTCAAACTCCTACTATGTGCTTCTACAGGGTGCAAACATTATGTTAGGCATCAGGTATTAAATGGTAAGCAAAATTACACAGTGCCCCATTTTGCAGAACTTGCAATCTAGCAGGGGTGACAGATAATCATGTAACTGAGTATAGTGGCAAACTATGGATTTTATAAAGGAAATATACACAAGGCATCAAATGCATGCAACAATAAGACCTGGCCTTAAAGGGAGAAGGGACAGGAATTACAGAAGGTTTCTTAGAGGAAGATCTTTTTTTTCTTTTTCTTTAAAAACAAATTATATATATATAAATAAAGGGTGTCCCAAAATTCATGCAAGAAGTAATTTTGATAGAAAACACAGGCTTATAATTAAAAATTGTAAATTTTTTATTGATTCATAAAGTGTACAGTATAGGGTTATGTATGGAATAGCATGTTGGGTAAATGGCCTCCACGGCTTTGTGGCACATACAACACTCTTTTGTTATTGCCTGAGCAGCCGCATTTTCAAAGAAGAATGGTCCAGTGATGCCTCCAGCCCAAAATCCGCACCAAACAGTGACACGTTGTGAATACATTTGTTTCTCAACAATCACTCGTGGATTTTCTGAACCCCAAATGCAACAATGTTGTCGATTAACCAAGCCATCAAGATGAAAACGAGCCTCATTGATATTCAGCCACATTTATGCAAAACAGTCATGGAAAATTTCAATAAAAGAGTGTGTATGTGCCAGCAAAGCCGTGGAGGCCATTTACCCAATATGCTATTCCATTCATAACCTTATTCTATATACTTTATGAATCAATAAAAAATTTACAATTTTTAATTATAAACCTGTGTTCTGTGTTTTCTATCAAAATTACTTCTTGTTTGGATTTTGGGACACCCTTTATATATGTGTGTATGTATATATATATCTCCTACATAATAAAAGGGTAATATGCAAATTGACCCTAACAGCAGAACGACTGGGAATGACTGGTCACTATGACACACACTGACCACCAGGGGGCAGACACTCAATGCAGGAGCTGCCCCCTGGTGGTCAGTGCGCTCCCAAGGGGGAACTCTGCTCAGCCACAAGCCAGACTGACGGCTATCAGCACAGCGGTGGTGGTGGGAGCCTCTCCCGCCTCCTCAGCAGCACTAAGGATGTCTGACTGCAGCTTAGGCCT